TAGTACGGAAATGTAGCTGCTGATAGTGTGACTTCAGTGGCACTTCGGCTGCTGTCAATTAAGCTGGGAGATATAGAAGGAGGGCTAGCACTAGGGGTTGGGAAGGGAGTAAGAAAAACAAGTGGAAAAGAAAGAAAGGCGTCAGCAGTAGCATGTTTTCACAGATCGGCTCCGTTGTATGCAGCAGTTAAGGCGACCAATGATAATCTGCACGACGGCCGATGAAGGATGTGATTGTAGTTTGGTGAATTTATGGTTGTAGGTGGGCTGAGACACTGCCAAGGTGCCCAAACCCAGAGTGGAGGACGATTGGGGTTCTCAATCAAAGCTTATGGCTAAAAAGCTGGTCCATAAGGATGGGACTCGGTCTTACAGAAACGGACGATAGTCTATTTCTCAACTGCTAAACTAGGGGGCCAGGAGACTGAGTTCATCTGATCTCTAACCACTGACCAAGTCTGGCAGTAATAGCCCCTAAGGTGCCAGGGGGCACCATCAGTCGCACCGCGTTAAGGTCCAGTTTCGTTGCGACAGACACTGGTATACATGTACCTACGAAATAACCTGACTGCGATTGCTGCGGATAAAACTGTTCTCAATGACTTAAAAGATACACTATGGTTGGTGATCGCATCTATCACTCTTCTATCGCCCGCCCCGAGCCACCCACTGTAAAACCCAAAAGCTAAGCGATATGATCAAAGCTGCGTCCAGTAGCACCTACAAATCTAAACTTGTGTGCAAATTTCAACCTATCACATGTTAACTGGATGCTGCCTACACTCAGAAACACTGCAGGGTTTAAGGAAATCATCTCATGTATTCACCCCAATGACTGGACCCAGCGTGTTAGTGAGCCAACCAGAAGTGCCATTACCTCAGACCTTGAACTCACGATGGGGAGCTCTTTCGCTTATGTATTCATTGATAAGCGACTGTCGGGGTGTGAGCGCAATAAGGTGCTTTGTAATATAACTACTGATTCACCTAAACCATCAAGTAAAATGCTAACATCCAGTCGCAACCTCCATCGTGTAGACTGGAACTTATTTAATGGACTTATCAGTACGATGAACTGGAATACATCATTCCTAACCCTACTGTGGCTATAAATGAGTTTATTAACAACATCGTCCTTGACCTGAATATACTGGCACATATAGTATGCAGAAATACCTATACACATAGTAGTGAACTCAAGCTTCTAAGCAAAGTCACAACCAAACATAAAAATTATATCGCAAGAGCAACATTGCTGCAAATACACGAGGTTCTGCTACAGTTACAACATCTAACCCAAACGGCCAAAATCAAGGAAGAAAGTCGGGTACTTAGAAATCCTGAGAATGTACGTACATTGATGCAACTGCTCAAGAGAAGGAACCTTAAACCCCATCAGGAAATTGTAATGTTGGCCCTGGACGATGGTTCAATAACGCGTGACATCTTCTGTATATGCGAGGCCATGAACTCTAGTTTTGCTTCCCGCTTTGTCTCCAACGACCAGCTGTTTCATCCTCCAATACCAAAAAGAAAGACCGAGTCATACTGCAATATACCTGTGACGTTAAGAGAGGTGTAAAGTACCATCGCATGCATAAAACCATCAACTCGTTCAGGCCCAGACAGCATCGCTCCAACTGTTATAAGACTCCGCGGGACAAAAATCTCTCTACTGTTAGTACGACTCTTCCCACATTATCTCATTACGGGCGATTTCCAATCTCAGTGGGAGCAATCTATTATAATTCCTAAGCACAAGGTTGGCTCGCGAAATGAAACATTAAGCTACCGCCTTATAAATTACACTTTCGCTGCTTCCAAAGCCCTAGAGAGAATAGCCGAGAATAAGATTGATCAATTTCTTACAAGACTTGATCTGATCAATCCCACACAATATGACTTTCTCTATAAACTCTCCTGTGTTACGTGCCAGCTGCAATTCTTCGAGCATGTCTTGACTATGGTTGAAAGGAATGGCAATCAGTATAATTCTGTTGGACATGCAAAAGGCGCTTGACCGCGTTCCGTACAAGCCATTGCTGTCCGTCCTAGAATCATATGACATTGGAAACATTCTGCTAAACTGGTTCGACTCGTGCCTAAACGATCGAACCCCGGGTAGTTAGAATCGGTCAGTAATACTCTACGCCAAAACAAATAACCAGTAGCGTCTTCCAGGGAAGTGTGTTCGGACCACTACTTCGTCTAATCTACATATGCAACTTATGCGACCCGAGCAAACAACGACGCCCATTTCTTTTTACTGATGACGTAAACATGGTCGACTCATCTCATCCAGACCTACTACAAATGTGCCTAGGATGCATCAGTGAAGACATATCCGCACTAAATATAGCTAGTGAACATTTGTTAATGAAGTTCTCTGCAGTAAAATCCCAAGTACCTGCGTACTGATGCCGCATTCCGGAAGGCTCTATCACATTTGCCGGAAACGTGATCCGAACGTCTGATTCAATCCTGGACTTGAGAATTAGGTACTGCAAATCTTTCAATTTCTCTGAACATACGCTTTATGAGGTCGCAAAAGCGAGGTAGCTATGCGGACATATCACCAGAAGTTTCTCCTTACCTGAAGCACGACTTGAGTCATTCAAGACAATAGTACGACCGAATCTGGAATACTGTACTATCGTTCACAGCCAATTGAGAAAGAAAGTTATAAGGGCTCTACAAAATGTCCAGAGATCATGTACAAAGCTGGTCATTGGGCATTGCGCATAATTGAGTTATTATGATCGCTGTCGAAAACTCCAACCGGATTCTCTTTGGCTGAGACGCTTAAAGAACAACCTCGTTCACTTCTACAACATTATAAACCAACGAATTTACGCCGAGAGCACCGCACTTGAACTACGAAAGACTGCAGTCTACCTCACACGTAATGGCGGCTACTTGCTATGTACAAAGCTTGCAAGTCATAAAACTCTATCGAATTCCTTCTTAGTGAGATACACCGATCTGTGGAACAAACTACCCCTAGAGATACGCATGAGTGCCAACCGTGTCACATTTCGAAATTCCCTACAAACTTTCCTCACTATAGCAAATGCGTTAAAGATCTTCAGCTCACGAGAATCTCTGTAAACATTGACGGAACCTGGCATAAAGAATATATCAGCAGCTAATTGCTTAAAGTTAGCTTGCCCACTCCATATCATTACCGAAAAAAAACGAAATCCTGCGTCCGTGCAACTTAGTATCCCCTTCCTATTATAATCTACTCCTGAAGACCAGAAACTAGAAAGTGGTTCTACAAACATCGGTATATCGTATATATTAGGTGATCGGATCTAGGACAAGATGGGAAATTTATGATCCGAAATTCTGTTCTTTAACGCATTGCGGAGCACTGCCCAGCGGCTTTGCGGAAAGGCATCGTCAGTCGCCCCAACAGTTCTATCCTGGAACATCTGGTGGAAAGCGGACACCGAAGCAGGACCGCTGATGCCTTCCAATTACTTTATGTAGTAAAACCACGGTGCACTAAAGGGCTAAGAAAGCAAATCTTACGGACGGCCGAAGCGATTGCGATTAGAATATTGCAACCGGAATTATGTAAGCAGAAGGCCTTGCTACAAGGGCTTCTTCTACCCTGGCCCTAGTCAGCTCGCTAATTTTTGCCACTCCAGACGCCTACAGTGGTCGGATGATGCACTTGGCATCCCACCGATCAACTAACACGTGCTTTGTCACATGTGTAGTTAACGGATTCTATTGATCAATACTTTTGAGTTTCTGTTTGTCGTGATTCCACTATTCCCACCACTTTGGCTTCATCAGCCGTTTGCTTTGTGCTTTTCCATTTTATAATTGTAAATGCCTGAGGAGATTTATCGAAAAGAGTACTCTTCGCAACGTTTTGTTCTTAAATTTAGTTTACTGTTATGAATTTACGTCGCATAAACCATGAAACCTATTCCCTGTACAAATGATCGCTCCCACTTATGTGGCCGAATACCGCTTGTCCGTAAATAGTAGAATTGATTTACCGGACAGACTGTAAGTATCAAATTGAGCATATGACATGCAAGGAAACAGATATGCAGCCATTGCTATGGGGATGCGTAGGAAACAAAAAAGGAGTATCCCTACTTAATTTAAGTAATAGCAGACCACTCACAGTCTGTGTG